TCAATCAATCAACAAACCTTATCCCTTTGGAACTTTGACCAACAGTCAATGGTTCCTCAAACCCTTTAGGAGAACTACAAATACTCTGATTCCATTCCCGTCAGGATATATAGGCACAAGATGCGACGTCTTGGTGAGTATACTTAGAATTAAACTACTAGGTCTTTTACCCTTAAGCAGATAACCCTTAGCAATAAACACAATAAAACAAGAGGTTCTTATAGAGTACTACAGAAACTTAGGATGCTATCAACTTCCCTAAGTTTAACCAACCCCCGGACCTTAAACTCTCTAGCATTTGCATTTGCATTGCATCGTGGGTAATTCGATATTTTTCCCTTCCTTTGGACAAATCAAAGACCGGTTGTGAATATGAATTAAGATTCAAGTTAGTCCAATAGCTTGGCATCCAATTCTCACCGCGACAGAAATGGCGACTTCACTGGGGACTTGTGTTTTTTATTGTGGGTTTCCCTAACTTGTTTTATTTTGCTTGTTTATTGTTTTATATATATATTTGCTTATTTGCTTATCTGCTAATATTTGCTAATTGCTTTTGGGTTGGTGTCCTTTGTATGGTGAGATAAGTCTTACACCCAGACTTGAGTGAACTTATTATAGGAAGGTGATATATTCGATGAGGCTTATAGGGAGTGGAATCCCAACCAAGCTGACTTGAGAATCACGCTCAGTTGAGGCCCTCTCGAAAACAGTATTGTTGAACGAGTAATCGTGAAAACATTCACTATTTTCGGCCTTGAAGCCTGTGATATTGGGGACCGTAGTCACCTTTAACCCTACTTTAGCCTTTATTAGGACGTAGTGCGATGACTATGAGGGAGTAGTCCCAAAATAGTTGATATGCGATGCTACACTCAAAAGAGGTTCTCTTGAGAATATTATTAACCACCGAGTAGTCGGAAAATTGATAATATCTGAAAGATGGACTAATAATTTTGGGCACCCTCTTAGAACCTTGTTTTGCAGGTACAATCAACCTTTAGTCCACACCCTTTGGGAATGTGTATACCCTTTGCTCCATGCTCTTTGCAAACCTAGGTTTCCTGTCTGTTTATCTTTGTGCATCTTTGTGTGCTTGCCTGTGTTTGTGCATCTTTGCATCCATAAAGCATCATGTTACATTGGTTTCATGGAATTCCGACTTTATTTATAAACATCACCGAACCAATATGGATTACAAAAGAAAATATTTTGATATATTATTTTAAGAGTCCTAACTTGGATGACCTAAGGAAGTTGGGAGCTCAGATTAAAGATCAAGACATTAAAAGACAAGAAGCTTTTGGTACTATCAAAGATCCAAGTGGATAGTGGATTTATTCCTCACTTTCCAGCAAGAAAAGAAAAGAGATGGAAGATTTATTTTCCTCTATCAGACTAACCCTTGGGCGTTGATTCTCGACAAGCTTATATTCAAGAAGGCCCAGCTAGAAGAGCAGATCAAGAAGCATGATACAAGACTTCCTTAGGACTTTCTCAGCTTTTATTTAGCTATTATGTCAAGATTCTTTTAAGAATATTTATCTGTAATCCGTTGTCAAAAAAAATAATAAATAAGTTTTCTTTGGTATTTTGTGACGTTTATAAATGCTCGAGTTCCATGAAACCTTTCATTTGCATTTTGCATTCTGCATTCTATATAGCATCCTTCATATAGCATTTGCATGTGCATGTGCCTCTTCTCCGTTGCGTCGCTCAACCGACTTTCTGTCTCTGTCTTTTCAGCTGACATCTTGACCATCTGACCAAGCTTGAAGTATTACTAAAGGATAGTAAAGAGAACAAAGGATATGGATCCCATGACTGGCTTCAGAGTTGTGACTAATCCGTTATTTGATCTTCCCTCTAATGACAATGTTCAACAAGTGAATGTTCCTACATCATTGAAGTCGACTTATAGGAAGGTTATATATTCTCAACCTATACGCTTTTCTCAGCAAAACTCTCCTCAACCTCATTCTTACTCTCCTTAGGATTTTCGATTTGTTTTTCACTATTGGTTGTTACAACATTCACATTCTCCTCAGGGGAGGGTCCCAGAGGTGTTTGTGCAAGCAGTGAGATTTGAGACTCCAATGCCTGTGAGTTGCAAGGGACTCGACTACAGTGTTCAGCTGCCTAAGGATTTCATTAGTATGGGGACTTTATTTTCTAAACTATTCATTTTGGAAAGTTTGTGTCGCCACAAAGCGCTTCATCATAGATTATAGCCTAGAGTGAGTTTGCATCGCAATGAAATCCTCCATTAATATTTCGAGGTTGGATTTATGGGAATCTTGCGACTCCTCAAAATAATGGGAGTGGTAATTGTAAAGAAAATTTGGGTGATCCATCTACCTAGGATTATACGAACTTAAATAAGTGTGCCTTAGTCTATACGGTGCAACAATGGAATAATAATATTGATTGTTGGTCCCCGACAACGGTGCCAAAAACTTGATGCGTATCTGCAAGTGCATGGAAATGCCAGTTATAATATAAAAAGAGTCGAACCCACAGAGACCAATGTCAACCTATTGTAGTCTATTGTCGCTTTGTAAATCTAGGCTAGCAATTATATATTTTTGGAGTTTTTAGAAAAGAAAATAAAGTTGGTTTGGATAAAAGTAATAAAAGTGAGACTAGAATCTAATTTCAAATCGCACCTCTAAGACTCAAAAAACTCTTAGAGTTTTGTTTTGGTATTAAAATACTTTTCAACAGAATATATTAGTTTAAAAACATTTATCTCACACTGTCGTTCTATTTACACTAGCTATACTTCTAGATCATAATGTTATATCTTCGCTCACCCATTTGATTTAAGATATACTTTTTGAAAACCAATAAGTCATAATTAATCCTAAAGCTATGTCGTTGTGTTTAGGATTAATGTCCAATTTTTACTATCTGGATCGAGCCTCACACTATCATGCTATTGATTCGAAACCTTAATGTTCTCGATGTCGTGCAAAACTTTTTGAATTTAAAATTAAAAACCAAAACCAGAAAAACAGTTTATAAAAGTTACGCCAATTTGAATCTACTGAGTTCCGTCAGAACGACGGTCCTCACATCCAGACTCTAGAACTTTAGCCGGACATGATTGCGGAAATAAATAAATAATTGTGTCTTTTTGAATTAAATAAAGACATAATAGGAGGTTTAAAATAATTAAAAACCACGTTTGAAGAAAAAGATAGAAGCTTGAAACAGTAACAATGACAGAAAATTAAAGTATAAAAGTAATTGGTGGAAATTAAAGGCAAGAAAATAAAGGCAGAAAAGTAAAAGCCTAAAAGTAAATGAACATGAAGATAAAAGATGGAATATAAAAATTAATTAAAAACTTTTAATAATGGCAGCAAGATTGTTTGATCCAAGCATTATACAAATTATAAGCCTAAGCACTAATGGTGTAGTAGTTCTCCAACGTGAGAAAACTACTACTTTTGCCATGGTTATTTCTACTTGAAACTATGAAAAGTATAAATTGCAAAAAACTTGGATACCAAATTCCACATTAAACTTGTATTATATAGTGTTATGATGCTGAAAACTAATGTCAAATGAGTGGGAATCGTGGGAAAAAATGTAGGGAAGTGGGCGAAGATCGAGCCATATTAGTTTTCAGATTTTTCTGCACTGCACGTACACGACCAATGCCATGAGGTCCATGGCAAACGCCGTGGCTTCATGAGCATTAATTCATAAAAACTCTGTTTTGTCACCGTTTTTCTTTTTTCGTTTTCTTGTGTACTAATTTTACCTATTAAATACCAGAAACTAACACAAAATACCAATATAACACAATAAAAATATATAAAAATAACACTAAAATGTGTGCTAATTGAGTCGATATATACTATGTATTTTCGTGCTATCAAAAACCTGATATTTCAAAATAGAAAAGGTGGAATCTCACCAGCCAAAAAAAAATGTCATTCATCCTGAAGCTAGCAATAAGAGCATCCCCCTGATATACGAAAGGGATCTCAATCTAACATTAATCCGGGTAAAAAGCACAACCAGGAGAGAGTAACCAAATATGATGTTAAGATTGGTAAAGTAGAAACAGTAATGGAAGTAGAGGTTGTCCCATAGACATCTAGTTTTTGTTATGTTCCCATGCGTGTATGCCCTTTTTTCCTACAAATAAGTCTACTCGTGATTGTTCCATACACAATCTTAGTCTAGAATTGCATAGGAGCATCCAGTAGTGCTTTCTTTAGGTTCAGTATGTAGCTTATCACAAGCATTCCATGTTGTTTATCATTCCATGTCGTGATTCATTCATTTGAGTGTTATCATATTATTTCTTCAAAGATTGAAATTTGACCTTTTTAACCTTCTCATCACCTCAAAACAGCTTATGGAGTGTATCTCACACACCCTTAGCCGTTTCTTCTCCAATTCTCTTTAAAATGTTTGAATTCATAGATTGGTGTATCAAGAACAATCATTTTTCATCTTTCTTACTCAATTTGCAATGAGCAGCCTTCTTTGGTAAGGAGCATTTATTTCTTATAAAAAGAAAATACAATATAGACAAAAAGATGGTTTTGTAAAGTTACATTAATCATTCTTGTAGTGTTTTAACTCCATTTTGGACAAGGTTGAAATCTCCTGCATGTTGCCAGGAAGTGATAATATTGTTGAGACTTGATTTTTCGTAGGTTCATGTTTATTTAATGATGCATTTGTCATGAACAAACTAATGTTTTTATAGAAACTACAACAACTTTTCAATTACTCTTGTAGTGTTTTAACTCTATTCTGATTAAGGTTGAAATCTCCTTCATTCTACCTAGAATTGAGACTTGATAATTCGTAGGTTCAAACATATTTAATGATAAATTTTTATACATTAATGTTCAACCATGTTGAAACTTGACAGAGTAACCCGTCCAACCTACAAATCAAACCCGAACAGCCCAGAATAATGTTCAGTTTACGGTTTGGGCCTGAATCCGCCCGAAGTTTGGCCTTACGAAGAGTTTTCAAGGATATGCTTTCACCCCAGAAACATATGTTGCCTCTAAAGATGCAGATGCTGTTTCAGCAAAGTCTTTCCATGAATCAGTGGATAATATGACAAAATCTGCAAGTTTTCCAATAGACAAGGATCCGAGATCATTGTCGATGAAGCTTGCACGTGCAGCAGAAATTGTATACCTGTCAGAGTGAATTTGAGAATCTAAGAAACATGCAAGAGTGGTGAGGTTTTGTCATAGGTACTGAATGAACTAAGGAAGAATCATAACATTAGAACAAAATTAATTGCTAAACATTGATTACCCTTTTATTGCTTCTTCTAATGAAATGCACTCGGATGGAATCCATGCATCTTCCGAATTCGGAGGTTTTCTTTTCACTGCTGTATTTATGCCACTCAAGGGATTAATGTCTGCTACCTAGTAAGTAGAAACATAATGATTAGTTAAGTACAACTTCATTATTTTTTTTAGTAGAAACCGTGTATCCTCTACACGCAATTGCAGCGACTAATTCCTCGAATTGAGAAGGACCACAGGAAGCAAGGTAGAGTCTCTAAATCCTCTACTAAATCAGAGTATTGTGTCATGTCTACTTCAAGTTTAGAAATAGTTTGACCTGTGGTATTTTCCCAAATTTGGAGTTCCTCAAACTGAACCAACATCTATATATGCTCACAATACAAGTGTCATTCAAATTGTTGCAAATCCATTTCTTCATGAGTGTACTAAGCATATTGAAGTTGTTTCATTTTATTTGTGAAGCCTATGATGACCTTATATCCATCTCTCACATCAATACTCAGCTTCAAGTCTAAATAAAGTTATTTCTCGATTGCGCCATCAGTTTCTTGTTAACAAGTTGGTGCTACGACTAGATGCATCAATTTGAGAGGGATAGAATCATAAATTGTTTTGCCTCCTTAATTACATTTATTACTCCCTCCGTTCCTTTTTAAGTGTCACTTTTTGGATAATTTTTTGTTTCTTTTTTATTGTCACTTGCAAAGTTCAAGGTAGTGCCTAGAATACGCCACCTACACAAATCAGATACCGATTTGTTTTCATTGATTATAACTATTTGTTGTAATTACTTGTATAAACTGAAACCTTTATATGTACAAGGAATAACAAAGGGAAAGAGAAAGGCATCAAGTCCTAATTGATGAGATTTATAAGTAGGGACAGAGGTATAATATAAGCCAAGGTACAAGTGTACTAATAATTCCAAAATACTTACTGGCCAATCAGAACCAAGTGCAACTAGTGCATTGGATTCTATGAGTGACTTGAATAAATATGATTGCTTTACAGCCCTTTCATTGCCAAGCTTTTTAGCAACAGAGTCAGCATCATCCAATAAGTGATCTGGCTGTTGATGATGAATAGAAACAAAAAACTATTACAATGTTTGTCCATATCAACAAGTTCATATCATGTTACTTTTAGGCTAGGGTAATAGACATTGAAATGGAAACAATGGAAAACTACAAGATAATGGTAATAAAAAGAAACCTGCACAGAAGCAGCAACCCCTTCTCTGCCAAATCTTGGTGGACTACCAGGTGCCAAGTGCTGTGCATGTTCAATCTGAAAGCAGAGTTTCAGTTGTTCAAAAAGAGATAATAAATATTTAAGGGTGCAATAGCTATGAAGCGCAGACTCCGACACGGATACTAGGATGCGATGACACGGACACTTCGACACAGATATGTCAAAAACATAAGACACTGACACCGCTACATATATGATAGTATTTGAACTCCATTTATCGATCTATTATTGAAAGAATTAAAAGTATTTTAATCTAGATTAATATTTATAATTCTTCATTAGATGTTTAAGGTTTGTCCAAAAAATGTATAAGTGTTGAAGCAAAGAAATAACAATTTTTTTAAAACACTTGTTGGAATTTTGTTGGAATTGTCCGACACATGTTCTATGAATGTCATATAGGTACTGTACTGGACACCGATTAAAAAGTTTCAAAGTGAAGAAAAAAACTATTTTTCTAGGGACACTTGTCTGACTTTTCCAACACTAGTCAGACCTTTCAGACACGTGTCATACGGATGTTATACAAGTGTCGGACACCACGACATGCCTACCGGTAGAGATGTCCGTGCTAGGAAAGGAAAATAATTTATCAAAAGTAGCAAAATTTATTCGTTTTCTTGATATATGTAAATAGCCTTAGAATAATAACTAAAAGTAACCGAGGTTGTATCACAGTTAAGTGTAAATTTCCAGCATTCAACTAGCAAAAAGCACGGACACATCGAACACAACCTCGAAACTGACACGGTGACACCGCTAATAATTTGAAAAAATAAATAAAATAAGCGTAATCACAAGTGTCAGTGCAGGTGTCTTACACCGACACGGACACGGACACACCTTTTCTCAGAGGTGTCGGTGCTACATCGACAACAAGTATAATAGAAAATTATTGAAGGTTTCTCAAATTTTAACAAAAGAGATACCCTGAATCTTCGATCTCTCATTCCATTTGTAGAAGCAACTAAGCTATGTAAATCCAAGATCAAATCATTCGCCTTGTCTCCTATAGCATGAATTGCAATCTGAAATAAACCAAAAGGAACAAACACAGTAACTAAAATTTAATCTTAGTCCATCACAGGTTTATTGTAGCAGTAGAATAAAGTACCTGAAGACCAGATAAATCTGACTCCAAAGTCATGTTGAGAAGAGCGTCAAGGTCTGCGAGTTGTAAACCATAGTTGTCGGGCTCGTCTTGATAAGGCTACAAAATTTGAGATACGAATGTTATTAAGAAAAATCACGAGATTAACAATTTGGATAGAAGTAAGGTCCTGGATAGAGGCATTATGGCGAAAGCTGATCCATGCAGCTGACCTCACCTAGTGGGATAAGACTTGGTTGTTGTTATTATTGTTGTTGTCTTCTGTTGTATGATATCCGTATCGTATAATGTATCATAGCTTCTTAGATCACATGCAGATATTGAATATGAAAAATTTAAAAACTCGTCTCACCTCATAAAACAATGCACTATTGGAACCCAAAGAACCGTCAAAAAAAGCTTTGACACCGCCGAAATAAACCCATTGACTTAAGGCATGGCCCATTTTATTAACCAGATCCTAAGTAGGAATAAGAAAAAGCTATTCAGAATCAGGTACATAAAAATCTGCAAGTATTGGAAATGTCATAATGTATAAATTTCTTGATCAATATTTTTCTTTGTAAGTGACGAGTTTCATTTGCAAACAAGGCAGAAAGATTGCGTAAAAAAGGAGACAGATAAAATAAGCTCTAAAAACGAGGCACAGACTAAAATCGCACTTGAAAAAAAAAACTAAAAAAGCATTTGTTTGTTCATACCGCTAACCGTCGCCATGTCTCCATTGGAAAAAACAAACATACTCTAACTTTCATTTTCGACATAGCATTAGTCCACTGATAAACATCTGTACAATACACACAAAACACAAACATTCATCTTAAGCAAAGATTGAGGCTTTATAGGACTGAGTAAATAGTTGGAATAGCATTAGAACTCGAACTAGAACACTAAACCTGTAAAATCCTCCCAAGGAAGATCTGCAGAAACCCCTGGAAAATATCTTCCCATATCAACAACGGTTGTCACACCCTTCGTCAAAGCTAGATTGCTTGCTTTTTGCAACGCTTCCCGCCTGTCATCTATTGAAAGCTCGGGAATTCGGGAGACTACTAACGTCATTGCAGAATCAACCAGCAATCCAGTAGGTTCTGCATGAAATAAATGACCCAACAAAACAGTTAGTGAAAAACTCTTCACACTGTCAGTACTTATGAATTAAATTCGTCGCAGATTACTTGAAGAAAGCTCTAACCATGCATAAGAATAATAAACTATTACCTCCATCAACACTCCTCACTATAGTTCCTCCACTTGGACTCTCGGTTGAGTTTGTAATGCCGGCCAGCCTTAGCGCCACTGAATTAGCCCATCCCATGTGCCCGTCCATTCTCGATAGCCAAACCTGCTTGTGAACTTCAACTTAGATTCACAGTCGTGTGTATGATGAACATGTTCAAATCGAAGTTAACATTGTATTCCTTACAGGATTATTAGGAGTAATGTCATCAATCCAATAGGCAGCAGGCAAATCTCCTCCCCATTGATCATTGTTCCATCCACCACCCAAAATCCAGGAACCGGGTTTTGCACCTAACATTACCCATGTAAATAAGTATATATATATATATATATATATATATATATATATATATATATATATATATATATATATATATATATATATATATATATATATATATATATATATATATATATATATATATATATATATATATATATATATATATATATATATATATATATATATATATATATATATATATATATCAAAAACATGATTCGTGACCAGTCAAAATTAAACTTCAATATCGTAATTCGTTGTCTTGTTTCTTTGCATCAATAGTGCATTAAAGAAGTAAATAAGAAAGCAAGAGCTCAAGTTTTACTTTCAACTGCTTCTTTGATTCTTCTAATAACTTCTTCCTTCTTATTCACGCCTCTCAGTCCCACCTGCATCATCTGCATCCATGACTATAATTAAAAGAAAGCAAACGAGACAAGTTCGCAAGGATTTCTCAAAGAGAAGAAAACTTATGTACATTAATCCCCCAATTCATTAGGATTTCAATCATTCTAAAACTTTTAAAGAAAAATATAACATAAAACTTCTAATATGAAGAGAAAAACATAGAATGATTCAGAGAATGAGGTTGCATGTACAATACCTGTAGACCACCAGAAATGAAATGAACATGTGAATCGATAAATCCAGGAAGCACGATTTTCCCCTCAAGATCCAGCACTTGTGTTCCATGACCTGCCACTTCCTATACAGAGTTTGTTAGGAATCAGAGGGTGCCATAGCTCCAAATCATACTCAAAAGAGAGATAGAAAGTCTATTGATATACATGAAGCTTCATTATATGAAAACTTAAAGAAGTTATTGAAAACTGATTACGGAACCGGCTAATTCAAAGACGGTTAAACCAGCCACGTTTGAACCTCGGTTCAATCAGTTCAACCAAACTACAACATAACCTGGATTAAACCAACCGACAAACTGGCTGCTTCTCGATTTGATCGGTTGAATTGGCCAGTTCAGTTTTGTTTTTAAAATATTGAATTGGATAGAATGCAGAAGATTAACCATCTAACTACTTATTAACAACAGCTACCTAATTCCTACCTAGCTACCCATTCCTACCTAGCTACCTAATTCCTACCTATGGTATGCTTGGATTGGTGTAATGTCATGAAATGAAACAGAGTGGTATATAATCACCTAGGCTTTGTGTGGATTGATGGAATCGGATGAACCGGAGCAGAATGAGATGGAATGTAATGATATTTCATTATTTGGATCATTTAAAATCGGATAGAGCGAGCAGAATGGAGAGGTATGGATTTCATTCTATTCCATCACATACCACCATATTTTATTGTTCCATCCTAAAATTTTCAAATAATGGGATGGAACTTCGTTCCACACTGTTCCATTCTGCTCCATTCCACTTTGTTTCATTTTGTTCCGTTTATTTTATGATATCCAAACATACCTTAGGGTTATGTTTGGATTGGTGGAATGTGATAAAATGGAACAGAGTGGTATATAATCCAAATGGAACAGAGTGGTATAAAATGGGATTTCATTTTTTGAATTTGCAAATAATGAAGATAATGGAATAGTGATGGAGTCCATTCCATTCAATCCTTCAATTCCGCTAATTTAGGATGCATGCAATGGAATAAACTGTTTGTTATGTTTCCTTCCATCAAATTATAAATAAAAAATACACAAACAAATGGAATCTCTTCCATTCGGCTCCACTTTCAAAATATTAGTTGAAAAATAACTTCAAGGTCAATGGAAATTGAAACTTACAATCAAGTTCAAAAGAACTCAAATACAGTTCTTACTTTTATACGTAAGAAATAAGAAAAATGAAACAAACCTGAACAAAAGAGTTGTTCCCAATACGAATAACCCTTCCATTAGCCACAGCCATGGAATGTGCAAACGGGAGAGATTCATCGCTTGTGAATATCACCCCATTTCTAATTATCAAATCAGCTTTTGACGGAAGAGAAGACTTTTGAAGATTCTTCCATGGAAGAAAATCTGCAAAACCCAGAAATGGTTTTTACATTTCTGAATTCATTCATATTTGTGCATGCAACGTGTTTGTAAGAAAGAGAGGTTGTGTTGTTCTTACCTAACGTGGGTTGGAGAACATGAAGAGAAGCAATTAGTATGGCTAGAAGTAGAGAGACTGGAGCGGAGAGGACTGTGAGAAAGTTCATTTGGAGGAAGAAATGGTTTAGAATACAGAATTTCTAGCAGTAACGTTTCCAAGTTCTCATAAAGAATAGAGAGAAAGTAAAACTATGGTGTGAACTGTGAAGCGTGCCTACTTATTAAGCACAAACTTCGACCAATTTCTTGGTCTTATATTGTTCAATAAAATCGTGAGTATGTCCTTCAAAATCAAATGCTTCCAAACTGAAAACAACAAAATAATAAATGATTATATAACATAAAATACTTATAATTATTAAAAATTAAAATCTTTCAAATATAATTAAAAGTTATAACAAAACATGTGTGAGAAATGAGAATGACAAAAATTTAGTTTCTAATATTTTTTACCTTTTGTATAAACTATTTTTTAGAAGTTTCTTTTATAGGAATTTTTTAGTCTTGTCATGATGGATTTTACGATGGTAGAGGTATTCAAGGTTTAAATGTTAAGTAGTTCTTCAAACACATTTGCATATATTGAATAACCTTAGTGAAGTTCAACCTTACTTGACCGCTCACAAAAGTCTTTTAAAGGAAAAATACCCCCGGATGAAGGAAAAAGGGTTGTTGACAGAGTATAACAAAACTTTCATAAACTGGTTTAATGAAAACATTTCTAAAGAGAGTAGTGCATCAGATCTTTGTAAATGTTGTCACGTATGCCTGAGTTTGTTGTAATTACTTGGAGTGCATACGAAATTTCTAAATATTCATTCTATACAAAATCAAACAATGATTGTAGCACCATGCAAAACAGTGGGTTATGGTTGAGGCTGAATCCATGTACTTTTCTATTTCCAAAGATAACAATCATGTACTAGCATCTAGGTCGTGCTTTGGGATCATTAAGGAGATTTTGGAGATTGAAAAGTGCCTTTATTTAAGTGCAAATGGATTGACAGTAACACTGGTATAGAAATTGATGAATTGGGATTCACACGGGTTGATATTCGTAAGGCAACTTATAAGAACGAACCTTTCATCATGGCATCCCAAGTAAAACAAGTTTTTTATGTCACTGATCCTTCTAACACTAGATGGTCAATTGTTCTTCAAGGTAAACATCTTCCCGATAGTACTGATGAAAATCAAGATTTTAACTATGAGACGCCTTGTTTATCAACACATGTACGTCAAGCATCCGAAGAAAATAATTCAAATGATGTGCATGTTATTCGTCGTGATCATGAAGAGGGGATATGGAAAAACTAGTAAGTAAATATTTTATATCCCTTTGAAATTTATAATTAATCATTTTACTCATTTTTAATCATTATACTATATATTTAAAATTATTGTTGACTGGCCTAATTAGTTTCAAATGTTGTTCAAACTATAGGTGCTTAAGAACCGGTGACAAATCCTATTGGACAACCTATAAAAATTTCCATTTTGGTTATTGGTTTTGTTTCATAATCCTTTGTTTTAGTTTTGAAAATGGTTATGTATTACATGTTCTAAAAAAATATGATTCTATAATCTTGTAATTGATTCTAAAAATATAGTTTTATATTCAGGAATATGGTTCAGTAAATGGTTGTATAATATAGGTGAAAACGACGGTACAAAAAAACTTAACGTACCTCTTGGGGTTTTCATAAAACCGAGGTAATAACATTGATATATTACCTTGGTGTTAAATAAAACCGAGATAATGTCATTTGGCGCACCATTCAGTTCTGAAAATGCTGAAAATGCTAATGTTGTGGATCGAACCCACGACCTTTAAATTTCTAACACTGGCTTTAGATTCTCTGAGGTGACAAGTAATTGCTTTTTATGTCGCCCTTCGTAACCTTGCCTGTGTAACCGAGGTTAAATGCATTATGTGGTCGGTGTTAAATGTGTTATTTATAGTAGTGCATAAACATAAAATAAAGCTACATAATTAAAATCTAACATACTTCTTAGACATCTAATCAACTAAAACACATAAAACAAGTGAATCATCAACCCCTCGATTTAATTTTACTATGTGTTTTAAACATACAATAAACATCTAAATCATTACGTATATGATCCTAGTCATAAATGTGGGTTCCATCTAGGTTATCATCCTTCAACATTATGTATGGACAACAATATTTTAATTTCTTACCTTTCTGGTGAGATATCATATCCTTCATTAAGTAAATTGTAGAAATACATCTTACATCCATCCTTTATGTTAGTTCCATGATTCTATGATTGTCCGTGGTTCTATGATTGGCTAAATTTTGGTAAAACATGATTCTGCACTGATGTTAAGCAAGATGTCATAACATCCACATCTACTGTTATGAAAATACTGCTGTCATGGGTTTTAATCACGATGTCAAGACAGATGTTATGACATCGTTGTTTGGTACAGCAGGAGCTGCTATTTTATAGCTCTTGACAGAGATGTTTTGGTTTGATGAGATCCTGTTGGATATACCTCATCAGTATGTGCAGGTCAAAGAGATTTATTAGGAACAAAGTGCAGATTTAATTGGTGTTCATAAAAAGGATCTTTGAGACTTTTTAGGAAACTGTAATATATTTGTTTCTACTATTATGAAGAAGATTTTGCATCTACTGTTATGACAATACTGCTATTTTATATCTCTTGACAGAGGTGTTTTTGAATTGTTATCACTGTTGTGATTAAGGGGGAGTGTGAGGTGTCTCTTGTCTAGTGTGTTCTAGGCAAAAATTGCATTGGGTAAAGATTAAGTGAGGAGTTATAAACTGGGAGTTTAGCTCTAAATTAATTCTACTAATAGTGGATTTTCTTCCTGGCTTGGTAGCCCTCAGATATATGTGATGTTGCATCGAACTGGGTTAACAATTCATTGTGTTATTTATCTTTCAGCATTTACAATTCTGCATAATTTAAATGGTTACATAAGTAGTTCTGTCAGTCTGCAGATGTTACAACGAATGTCATGGCATTGGTAATTTTTAAAGGGATTTAAAATGGTCATGTTCTGTCCTTGTTCTGTTTTAGCAGAGATCAATGTTCTTAGGACATCTGAGATCTGCATACCAGAATTTCACTTTATATATTTTTCCTGAATTAAGACTTTGTCATCTTCATCTTTAACACACTTCACTTGATCCAAATCTCTAGTATTTCTTTCTTTTCCCTTAACAGTCTTACATATAATTTTTTTCCCTCACTGGTTCCTAAATATTGGTATAATCTATCAAAAGCTAGAGTTTTTGCTTCACTCACCACCTTATTGTTATCATTCTTAGTTTTCTTAAACTTTTCCCAAGTTTCGGCATTTGTACACTTAGATCATTCTTTAAAACAATCTTTTTTAACTCTAACTTTACTCTAAACACTTTCATTCCACCGCCATGATTTTTTACCCCTAGGTCCAAAACCTTTTATTTCTCCCAACGTCTCTTTAGCTACTTTTCTAATCTTTTGGGTCATCTTGTTCAACACATCATTTACACTTCCTTGTGGTTGTTCAAACCCCTACAAGATCTTAAGTTGGAAGCTTTCTTAATTTTCACCATTTAAATACCACCACTTGATCAATGACGCCCTATGTGACTTATTCTTTTAGGTCTCCTTTTGATTCTTACATCCATAACCAATACTCTATGTTAGGTAGTAAAACTTTCTCATAAAATAACTTTGCAGTCCAAGAAAATCTTCCTATCAGACTACTAAATAAGAAAGAAATCTAGTTGTGAACATTTCACCCCACTCTTAAATGTGATAAGATGCTCATCTTTTTTTTTTCTAAACTAGGTTTTAGCTATAGTAAGATCAAAGATTGACGAAAACTCCAAGATGGATTTATCCTTCGCGTTTATCTCTCTGAGGTCATACCCCTTATGCACATCCTCAAAACCTTTTGTTACGCTCTCCACATGTCCATTTAGATCTCCTCTTAGACATAGCTTTTTTCATTGGGGTATATCCTGAAGAAATCCTTCTGAACCCTCCTAATTTTTTTTTACTTAAGGTGTTCTTCTAACCCAATTTTAGTTGTGTAAGTACTAATAATATTAATGATGTCTTGTTTCACTACAAATTTCAAGACTATGATTCAATCTCCTACTCTTTTCATATCCATAATATCCTTTTTCCACTTCTTTTCCACAATAATCCCTATCCCATTTCTCGATCTAACTTTTTTGATGTACCAAAACTTAAATCTCAAATTGTCTATTTTCCTCTCCTTTTCACCTGTCCAACTAATTTCTTATAGGCACATGAACTTGATCTTCCTCCTAACTATAATATCCATTATTTCCATAAATTTTCTAGTAAGTATGTCTATATTCCATGATCCAAAATGAATCTGTCTCATGAACTAACTTTTTTATCCACACATGCTCACGAAAGTATGAGAACCCTTGCTTATTTTCCAATAAAAATATGACAAGTGTATTTAAATGTCTTGCATATATGTAGCATAAATTATACAATTGTCATATTTTCATTAGAAAATAATATAAACCACACCTAAATAATTATATATAAAATTTCTCCTAATAAATAATTAAGAGGACAATAAAAAATAGTATCAATGATTTTTTAACATTATAAAACTATTTATAGTTTGACACTTTTTTGTCCTAATAACTACGGACAAAGTATTCAAAAATATGATAATTTTAGGAGATTTTTTCAAATGTGTGGTTGGTGTAAAAGATTCGAATCTCTTGTTCCCAAGTTAATGTTGGGCGGAATCTTTTTAGGAGTTAGAGTTGCATCATTAAACAAACAAGCTGGCTTTTGGGACAACCTCTGATCCATCACAAGATTTATTTGTTACTAGTACAACCTATGTATTATGACTCGTCAAAGTCACAAAGCTTGTCGGTTTTGTGGGCCCCAGCAAGAATCCAAACGAACTTGGTCACACACACGCCATATTGACTAAGCAGTGACACATCCTCCTTTCACTCACATCCGAAACAACAAATGGAGATAGAGAGACAAAATAAAAAACGTCTCCTTTATTGATTAATGTATCTTGGTCCACAAATGATTCTCTAATATAGATTCTACATGATTATCCTGTCACAATTTTGGCCATACAAAACCACTTGCACGAAAATCCAATGCTCAAAAGTATCTTGTGGGAAACCTCCAACAAAGATTCCTCCAAACCAAGCTCTATATAAACCACCAATCAATGGCAATAAAATTCATAAGACAATATTTATTAAATTCATTCAATAATTAATTAATTCAACTCATTCAACAAACTAAAAATTAGGTTATACATATTTAAATTGATAGTGGACAAAATTGATTTTGACAAATTTAAGTTTTGTAGAATTGGTTTTAAGATAATGGAATATAGTAAACTTAGTGATGGTTACTCTCTCCCGTCATTATTATAAGAAGAAAAAAAAACTTTAAATTATTGATTATTGTTATAAATAAAAGTCAATAACTTTTAAATTTGTTAATGCTTGTGTAACTATTATACTTTTGATTTAATTCAAAAATATTTAATGTTGATAGTTGATTTATTAAATATAATTAAGGATATTATAGTCAATTTTATTTTGATTGTACATTAAATCAAGAAAACTAAGAGGTTTTTTTTTTCATTCTATAGACATCTTACACACCATGCGATTTTTTTCATATGCATCTAGATTTCGGAGATATACCTTCATACGCATCAAAATTCAATTGAATGTTAAAATATTTCAGAGGTATATCTCCGGACGCACTAAAAAATAAGTAAACGTTGAAATATTTCTGAGATATATCTCCAGAACAATTTGGAGTATATTATCGCGTCATACTCTTCTTCTCCCTCACTTTTCATTTTCATTCACAAACCTCTTCATCTCTCTCATTCCAAAATATCTCCAACTTCACCAAATTTGATTTCATTCGTTCGAGGCTTAAGTAATCATCAAGCAACATCCAGTACATTATTCAACATCTTCCAAATCATATAATTTGGGTAAGTTTTTCGAGTTTTTGATCAATATTCGAGTATTCTTGTAAACGTGTTAGAATGCATTGTTAGGTGTAGAAATGTTTATAAATCAACTAAAATATAGTTTAAAGTAAGTGTATGTATTGTTTGTTGGCTCAAATGGACGATCAGGGCTTTAAAATTCTCATTATGAGGGGTAGAGGACGCCATTGTCGCGACCTCTGAGTTTCAAAAAATTATGGAAATATATCTTTGGAAAAAATCAATGTTTAATGTACTCTGGGTGATTCTGGAGATACATCTACGAAATATTTCCGTAGTTGTATCTCTGGAATCACCCAGAGTACATGAAACGTTGAATTTTTCAGAGATGTATCTCCGGAATTTTCTCAGTCTATTTTTTTGTTTTATATTTTTCTTATTTGTGTTATTTATTTGCATAAACTCATTGTATGGTTAATTATACCTTGCATGCATAATGACTGACAGAACCGACCGATTTAGGCATAGACGGGTTGCCCAGCACGTATCCGTTCGGAGGGAGCGAAGGCAGCAGGTACCTCTGGTCAGGGAGAGGTGTCGACTGCTGGGGCACAATCTACTCCTAAGATTCATTCCACTCCTGGGGCTCGGCCTTCGCCTCAGGTCACTCCATCTACATCTCAGCTCATGCCCCCTTCTACTACTTCTTCCCGCAGGTCACGAGATGCACCAGATGACGCATCACTTTCTGCATCCTCCCACAGGCGTCGGTATGCACCTGTGCCACCTCCTATTAATATATTGTTATGTTATTTTGGTATGTCACTTGTTTTATAATTCATCTGCAAACACATACAGAGTGCATTTTAAAAAAACATATTCTTAGACACTTCAGAGATGTATCTCTGAAAATTTTCCGTAGATCTCCGGAAATATTCAAATGAAACTGGGCTACGGGAGATATGTTGTGGCCATTTAAGATTTAAATTGTTTCAAACATATATCTTCGAAAAATTGTCAGCCATGGGGCACGCCAGAAGATATATCGCATTTGTGGAAAACCACACGGTAAAAAAGAAATGCATATGGTGAAATAAAAAATTTCCAAAATTAATTATACTTAACTAATTTTCTTATTTCTTAATAAGTGTGGAAGTAGTGATTTTTTCTTATAATAATATTTGAATAGTTTTTATCAAAATTGATTTTTTAATGTATAATTGCCAAAATAATAATAAATTATAATACAAAGTAAAAAGGAAAGAAGCAATTGATGAAATTAAGGAGGGTAAAGAAGAAAAATTAAAGGGAGTTGTAACAACCAATATATAATAAATATATAATAAATGTAGAATTAATTCTTACTAGTGTCAAAAGTTAGGAATTGTAGCTTTTAAGATAAGAGTTTTTGATTCCGTAAAAAAATAAATAAATTGTTTTTTTATGTGTAACAAAAAAGAATTGTTTTTAAAGGAGGATAATTGGTTTTGGAGAAAAACTCAAACAAAGAAAAAAGTTATATTTTTATGTTTATGTAGAATAAAAGTGTTTTTGAGACTTAAAGTCAATCCAAACGAATTCAATTCAAACATTTAATTATACGGATAAATTCAATCTATCTATTTTATTTTGTAAATCTAACAAATTATATTTAATTATTTTTATTATTTTTAAAAAAAAATTTATAAAAAAATTATTTAATTAAGTTTTTTACAAAAATTTATATATTCACACGTGATTATATTATTAATTCAGGTTGTTTTATTGTTAATTTGTTACAAAAGAGACATTGAAATCTCAGTTGGATTATTTTATTAATAAGTGGCTTATGTAAACAAAAATTTGACTTTAAATGAATGATACTTAAATATGATGATTATTTGGGTTGATAAATGATTAAGTTAATGGGTTTTTATTTTTAAATTTGAAATAAAATTTAAATATCTTTTCACTCTTCATGACTATAGAGATATGACTCGTATGAATGAGTTGTGACTATTGAAATAAAATACTTATAAAACAGACACATTTGAAAATGAATGTAACAAAATTTTTGAATTTTTTTCAATTTCTCATAAACAAAATAAAATAGTATATTCATCATCAAAGATTGGGGTGTTCAAAATCGAACCAATCTAATAAAAAATCACAAACTAAACAAAAGCAAATCAAAACTATAAAAAATCGTATTTGATTCGCATGTGTTTGAACCATTTTTTAACAAAAAGTGTCGTCGACTAATTGAATATAAATATATATTTTTGAAATGCATCAACGACACTATGTGGTAATGATTTTACAATTTTATAAATGAATAGATTATGGCTATTTATATTGTTATTGCAGGTTTTTTTTTCTTTTTTTTGTGGTAAAAGTGAGGGTCAAAGGCCTAACAGAAGAAACAATTATAAGAACACCTTCCTAGAGGTGAAATCCCCCAACTTATCTTTTACAAGTAACTCCTCAATGAATCTAGGAGTTGACGAGAGATTCAACATATAAGAATTCAACCTATATTCAGCTTTGACCAACGCATCAGTGCACCTATTAGTTTGTCTATATGAATGCGATACACGAGCCACTTCAAATCGACTTAGAAGGCTCTCGATCTTCCTTAGCATCTCTAGCCCATCAATCCTGCTAGATCTTCCTTGATTTAAATCCATTGTAATCTCAGCGGACTCTGTCTTAACTTCTATTCTCTAAAACCCCAAATCTAGATCACACATCAAACCTTCAAGCATACCCCATATTTATGCGATATAACTACTACAAATTTCCACATTCTTGTAAAAACCACCCAACCAGCTTCCTGCCTCATCTCTGATCAGACCGCCACACCCAGCTGAGACTCCCTCACTACAAGCCCCGTCTACATTAAGCTTCACCATACCATTCTCAGGGGTAATCCATTTAACAAGAATAACCTCTCTATTTCTATTAACCGCATTATTATTAACCAACAAGGCTTCTTCGTAATCTTTCAACCGAGCAGATGCATGCAAACTAGGGTTATTAGGCCTAACAAAATTCTCCACATTCTCTTATTTATTACGCCAAAGTCAAATGGAATGGCACGCCAAAGCCCCAAAATTATTCCACCCTTCTTTCATATTCCAGTTAATGTTCATGTTAATCCAATCCTGCAGATCAAGTTTAAAAAACTCATGGTAGATATCCAATGGTACTTTATGCACCCAAACCTCCTTCGCTTTTGGACAATCTTAGATTGCATGCATGATAATCTCCACTACATGGCCACACATCATACAAGTAGTGAAACCTAAGCCTCTCGAACTTTTGCTCATATTAGTCAAGAGTCTATCATGTTTCAAATTCGAAACAAAGGTCATTACTCTTTCTGGAACTTTCAATTTCCATATACTCTTCCAATCACGATCATTGTCGCAAAAATTATGCTTTGCCACTAAATCATAAAATGTCTTCATTGTACCAGCTTCGAAGGTCATACCATCTAAAGAGATCCTGTCTGCAATTTCCTCAGAGTTGACAGAAGGCGGGTGAATGTATCTCAGCTTATTCAGAATTTTGCACGACATCCATTAACTAAGAGCATACCAATCCCAATTTCCACTAGCATCCAAGAGCTCACTAACCTTAGTATTATTCAAACTTTCAGAAATATGATGCACATGTTCACGGATACAGTATCCTGCATCTATCCAACCATCCTCACAAGCATTAATAATGGTATCATCGCCTATAATCCATCTAGCATGTCTAGCCAAATAAGCCAAAAACTTATTTATTGCTTTCCATAAACCTAATCCAGTGCACTTATTTGTGGGGCTACAACTTAACTTCACATCCTTATAAATACCTCTCAAAACTTTACACCAAAGATTATCAGCCTTGTTTATTAATTTCCAGCTGAGCTTCATAATACAAGCAACATTTACAAGTCTAAGATCTCTAATTCCAAGCCCACCGAGATCCTTAGGGCGCATCACCATATTCCAATTAACAACATGGATTTTTTTTTCCGTTACTAGTGTCACCCCAATTGAAGTTATGTTGAAGTTTTCTGACTATCATCAATTCAAGCCTTAGGGAGAAGGTTTGTCATCATCGGATAAATCGGAATTTCTTCAAGCACACTCTTAGCTAACGTTACCCGACCCGCCATGGATATCGAATTAGCTTTCCAACAAGAAAGTTTGGCAGCAATTTGATCCACCACATAATGAAAAATAGATTTTCTCAAATTCTTTCCACTTAGAGAAACCCCAAGATACTTGCTAAATTGCGGCACTTCTCTAAACTTGGAAATATGCACGAGATTTTTTTTCATACACCTCGCAACATTCCTAAAAAAAATATGTTGGATTTCTCTTCAGTTACCTCCTAGCCAGTTAAACTACAAAAGCAACGAAGAACATTCATAACATACCTTATTTGAACTTTAGAAGCTTCCCCAAACAATAGCAAGTCGTCGAAAAACAATAGGTGTAAGATACTAGAGCCATGAGAACCCAACAATAGCAAGTCGTTGGCAAACATTAGGTGCAAGATTCTAGAGCCACGAGAACCCATCTTGATTGTGTTAGAACAAGATTTGGTTCTGCAAGATATCTCTAAGTTTTGATAATAACAAAGTAGAATTTGTGTGAGAACATTTTGGTATTCTAACGTTTGTTTTTCTGAAGAATTAACAAACAGGTTCTGAATTTGATAGAGAAAGCTCTGACTCTGATAGAGATCATATTCAACAATTACTCTGATCTGACCAAAGTCGCTCGTGCGCTAGAAGAAGCAAGTCTTCTTCTGATCTACTCTCACTCAGAAAGATTCTAAGAAGATAATATGTTGTTGTTGTAATGCTCTCTTGGTATCTGCTTCTGATTACGACTCTGATACTTTACTTCTGAAGGCTTTCTAGCTTCTGAAGTCATTATCTTCTGAAGACTAAATGCTGAAGACAAGGTTCTATTGAACGAAGTTCTGAAGACTCTGAAGACTTGAGTTTTTGAAGAATAAATGCTGAAGACTTTGAAGATAAATTTTTGATGAACGACGTTCTGAAGACTTAAGTTACTAGTGACCAAAGGTTCTGAAGACTGAGTGCTTATAGTTCTGAAGACAAGGTTCTGGTGAACAAGTTCTGAAGACTCTGAAGACTCAAGACTGTGAAGACCTAGTGATCAACTCTTCTACTCATGCTTTAATCATTTCTATTCAAAAGCCTCTAGTGTAAAGAAGAGAAACTCAAATGTTTACAAGGGAAAATAATACATAGTACATTTCAACGTTTCATTCCACTACCCTTATTTGGTGGTACAAAGGAAAACTTTTGTGTACGATTTTCATCCCTGCGTAACGACATTATTTCAATTCGCCAGCTACCTAAATGATATTCCTTATCTACCCTCCAACAGATCTTTTTCTGACTATATAAGGACTTTATTACTTGAAGAAAGTAATAAGCTTTACAATGATTAATAAAGAGGTTACACTTTGATTGAAAGCAATCCATGAAGAACTGAAGCTACTGTATTGAAGTGCCACAAAACAAAGAAAGAATATTGTGCATACTGTATTAGTGTCTTTAAGACATTTGAGCTATTAATAGTGTTTATATCTACTTATGTAGAAGCAATTTCATTGTAAACGTCTTTGTTCAAACTGTTGTTTGTAGCTCCTTAAGGGACAAATTAGGTCAGAATTCGTAAGAAGAGATGGTTAGTCACTGTTGTTAGTCACCAGCGGTAACTTGTGAAGATTGTATTTCCTTAAGGGACCAGTTAGGTCAGAATCCTTAATAAGAGACGGTTGTCTGTGTTGTTAGTCACCGACGGTTGCTAGTGCAGTGTAATCTGTTGATTATAGTGGATTAAGTCCTTGTGCATAAGGCAAAATCACCTTGACGGGTGGACTAGATTAGCTTGATAACTTTCAAGTGAACTAGGATATATCGTCTGTCTTTCTTTCTTGATTAGTCTATTTGTGATCTTTGTTTGAGTTTTACAAAAAGTTTTCATTTTGAAAAATCCAATTCAAACCCCCCTTTCTTGTGTTTTCTCACACCTTCAGATTGCTCTCCAACTCCCTTGCACCACCTAATGCTCAATGATATGAGACAATTTCTCCATACAAAGCACAAATAGTTAATCATATATATATATATATATATATATATATATATATATATATATATATATATATATATATATATATATATATATATATATATATATATATATATATATATATATATATATATATATATATATATATATATATATATATATATATATATATATATATATATATATATATATATATATATATATATATATATATATATATATATATATATATATATATATATAGTTAATATAATTAATTATACATGGTTGTTTTGTATCGATGATAACACTCATTTGAAGATTTTTTAAAAATAAACATGTTTTTCAAATAAAATCTCCAAATAATCACTTTTTCAGAAAAATATCAAATTAACCATGTTTCAAACAAAAAAGTTCGACCCATTGAGGATGCACCATTGTCTATAGCGCATGCACTCATATTTTGGCCTAAGACGGCATAACATGTGGCGCATGCCTTTAGGAGTATCCAATGGGTGTGGCGCAAAATTTAAGTGGATGTGTCATTACATGTGGCTCATGTGTTGTTTTGGTTTTTTCATATATAGGTCATTCCCTTTCCACCATTTTTCACCCATCTTCTAATTCTCTCCTTCAATTTTTCTTCAAAATGTCATGTTTTATTATCAAGAGAAATATAAATTTGATTTATTTAGCCGTAAAGCCTTCGATGAAGATCCGAATATAGAACACAAAGACTTTCAAGCATCTTCAGAGGAGCTTGATCCATTGGTTAGATGAAGACATTACAGACGATGAAAAGATCAGAAGAATTGAAAGGCTTGTTACGGTGTACAACAATAATGGAGAACATCGTACATTGGAGTCTATTAAAACTGACAGTGACTGTCGTATTATGATACATAGTTCAGTGGAAATTGTCCAGATGGTTGTAATCGCATAGATATATTGTTTAGTCATTTTATTAGTTTGTCATGTTTTTATTTAAATTATTGTAAGCGAATATTGTGATCTTTATGAAAAAAGCGTTGTTTTCAATATCAAATTGAATGGTTATATAAAATGAATTACATATAAAAAGCATGACTAAAAGTAAATAATTTAATTATGTTGTGGAGCTTGCTCCAACATTGGGATAGTTTGACGACTGTGTCCAGACTGACAACATTGGCATACCCTAAATTTTGACCGATTTTCCGTTTATAGTTTAAAGGCATTCCATTTCGAATGGATTAGGTAGCTCTGTTGGTAGTGTGGTGAAGATGTGAAACATAGGGTTGTGGTTCAAACCCCATTAACCATTCATTTACTTTTTGTTGTTTTTGTTAAAAGTAAAAAAAGTAAAATAAAGTTAAATTTTTACTTTTAATATTAATTTTTGTTTTTTATTTTATTCTTATTTTCTGTTAGTGTTTCATTTTATTTTGGTAACTTTTCTTAAATAAAAAAAATCATTAAAAGTAAAGGCTCTATTTTTATACAAAATCAAGAAAATATTGTTAGTTTTAGTCAAAACTTATTTACATTATAAACTTTTATTTTCTCATTGATTCACTTTTAATATTCCAATCAATATTGATGCAGGTAGACTGCAATTAATATTAAGAGCACCTTCTTTGTTATCTCTAATTTCTGGATGCAGGTGATTCCGCTTTCTAAAAAAGTGATCAAGCAAATTGATACTAGGTGCCGCTCGTTTATTTGGGCCGGTAGTGGAGATGTTTCTAGGAAAGCTCCTATTTTTTGGAAATGGGTTTGTACTAGCAAGAATCAAGGTGGTCTCAACTTGGTTGACTTGGAGGATTGGAAGACTGCTCACTTGATGAAGCTTCTTTAGAACATTAGCAGGAAAAGTGACACTATTACTATATGAAAGGAAAGGAATTAATGGAAATCTCAGCTAAGTCTAATTGATCTTGGATAATCAAGGCCATCTTGAAACAAAGGCGCATAATATCTTACTTGCAAATTCGGAACAACATTCTGTAGCAGGAAAAAACCTTAGTGAGACAATTTTATCATCTCATAAAAGGAGAAGGAGACAAAGTGGAATGGAGAAAAAATTGGTTTGATAATCCAGCCCGTCCTAGAGCTCTCTTCATTTTGTGGCTTGCTTGTAATGGGATGTTGGCTACTAAAGAGATACTTCATAAGATTGGCCTTATTGAAGATACTTGTTGTTGTTTTTGTGAGGATGTTGAGTCCTTGAACCACCTTCTGTTTGGTTGCAGGTTTATGCAAACCATTTGGATAAGATTCTCACTTGGCATCATATTGACCATAGGCCTCAAATTTGGGAGGAGGAGCTCCATTGGATGTTGAAGTTTAGTAAAGAAAAGAGTTTTAAATCCAGAATTTTGAAGTGTGCTTTTGCCGAGACTATTTATGAAGTTTGGAGATTGAGGAATCAACATTGCTTTGGTGGGGAAACTAACATTACAAATGTTGATCAAAAAATCATTGATCATATTGTTTATAGATGTTGGGCTAGGCCGAAACTTATGAATCATATTAGTATCTTGATGTTGCCTTAAGTGTTTTTGCTGTCTTAATTGTGCTTGGTTGTAGCAGGCTGGATCTTTGATCGCCTTTATTTTGTATTATTTTTGGAATTTAATAAAATTTCTTTTATTTAAAAAAAAAATCCAATTAATATTTTAACCTAGTCTCCCTAATATAAAATGCACATCAATGCATCACTTGAAGATCCACTCCCTCTCACTTTCACACGTGAAAACACTACATATTACATATAATACTCACCCTCTCACATTATCAAATTGACACCAAACAACCATATCATCATTCTTCATCATAAAGTATAACTACCAAATTTATACAAAAAAAAACTCAAAAATCATACATAAACCTTCACCTAAACCTCCATTTTGACTCTTCATAACATAACCTCCTCTCTAACCTTCATCCCCATTCATAAACATCAAGTTCACCACATTCAACACCATTTAATAAACCAACTTTCAAAAATTAAGAAATCAATAACTTTTTCGGTATACCAAAGCTTGAATCTCGATTGTCTAATTCCCTCTCCTTTTCACTTGTCGACTTAGTTTTTTATAGGCGCATGAAATTGGTCTTCCTCTTAACTATAATGTCTAATATTTTCATAAATTTTCTAGTAAGTAAGCCTATATTCAATGATCCAAAACGAATTCTACTTTCATGAACTAACTTCTTTACCCACATCCGTTCAAGAAAGTGTGGGAACCCTTACTTATTTTTCACTACATCCAAGCGGCGATGCATCGACTCTTACTCTTTTGTAATTGTACTCGAGTCATACAACGTGTTACTTACGGGCAACGACCTAGTATCACATCGTTTCATAGTTGATCCATGTCATAATGATTCCATAAAATTTTACGTTGGTTATCGACTGCCTAACACAACTCTCTTCTTTTATCCGAACTTGAGACTGGACATAACTAACGTAGGTTGGATTACAGTGTAAAATTAAATTAATATTTTATTATGAATAAACATTAAATATTAAATATGAAAGTAAGACACAAAAATAATTATTTTTTATTTTTCTTTAAAATCAAATTAACTTTTTAAATAATTTATTATTATTATATTCTCTAGTCCTATTGATAAGAGACAAATTATATTAATTGAATAATCAATATATTGATCTATATATTGTGCAAGTACATTACTTATTTACTATATTAATAAATAAGGCCAGAATGAATATAATTTTTAATTTATTAATTCATTAAATAAAAGGAAAAGTTCAACAAATGAATGGAGATCCAAAGAAAAGACATCGTCCACTTATTCAATTATAAAAATTAATAAAAATGGTTGAAATAAAATATTTGAAAAATTAAATTTTAAAGTCAAATATTTTAGTATTTTATTTTCATTTTAGGACCATTGACATCCGTATTGTGAGGACCACAATAGTAATTAGAAATTTGAAAATAAAAATCAAAGCACTATACTTTAAAAAAAAAAGATTATCTAAAATTTTACATTAGTGAGGTCGTTCATGTTTTCACTCTACTTTCTGAAATCTTGGTGATGCTTTGACAGAACCGTGATTTTCTTTTCACTGCTATGTTTCATTGGGAGTACAATGATATGAGTCATATTTTGGTCTAAGGTTTTATGGTTATCTGATTTTTTTAAAAGAAAAAGAAACAGACTCTTTTCAAGAGCTTGACGGTGGGCTTCTAAGCCCATGATGAATATTCTGTTCCCACCCTAAGCACTTCTATGCGCCTCCTTCATCATTTTTTTTTTATAAAAAATTTCACTTCTATTTTTTATTTTTTCTTCAAGATTATTTTTGTTTTAGTGTTTTTATATAAAAAGGGCTTGCTTGATCTAGACCCTAATTGATCATAGTTTCATCTTATTTATTTCATGATTTATTTCCCGTTTTGATTTTATTTTTGTTTTCGATTTTTGGTCAATGAACATCTAAGAGTCGTGGATTGTTGATTTGTCGATGAAAATCCATGATTAAGATTAGACTATTTTCTTTTATGACTTATCTCATTCCATTGTGGTTTCCATCTTATTTCCTTTTTTCTTTTTCAATCTTGGTCGATGAAGTCTTTTTATTCATAGATGTTGGTTGGTTGAAGTTGTTTAACCTTCATTATTTCAAACCTGTAATGAATGATCATTGAGATCATTTTCTATACTTTGGGATCGTGATAGATTACTCTCGATTAATTAGCACAAGTTTGTGATTAAGAAGAGACCGTCACCTTTTCTTATTCGTGTGGCACGATTACTTTGGAAAATGATCCTCAATATCATTTCTCCATCGTGTTTTTAGCACGAATATCAACTTGCACGACCTCCTATAGTTTGATCTTCGTCATAGATTGAGCTACGACGGTTTAGCGCTGCATTTCGACCCGATTCATTCAATAGTGACTAACAACTAACTTTATTTTCCGTCAATATACTCTTGTTTTATTTTCAGTCATTATATCTTGATTATATTATTATTATTATTCATATACTTGTTAATATTATCTTGATTATACTATTGTGGATATTATTTTGATTATATTGTTATATATCTTATCATATTATTCACATTGTTCATATCATCTTCATATTGTTCATATCTTGTCCATACTATTCGAACATATTAACAATTATCGAAACCCTAAAAGCCTAAATTGGTGGACTGTGGTTACCTTTTCCGAGCAACAGAACTTGGACTGTATCAGAAACCCTAACAAAGGAGCTTTTATCCAACTCTTGCTCAAGGCTTAATTTAGGACACCTCACACACACACACACACACACACACACACACACACACACACACACACACACACACACACACACACACACACGACTTCCTCTTGGGCTACCTTACAATGAGACCTTTTATTTCGTGCAATCCCGTGTAACTTACATGTACCCCGCTCCCATTTCGATGTACACATTCGTATTTGCTTTGATTGTGGTTTATCTTCTAGGAGCACCCTTAGGGGCTAGAGTAGACTAAACTGTTTTCAAACTAATTCTCGATTCGTCATCGAGCCATTTTTAAACACCCCCCCCCTCGTAAGTCGATTTCTCGTACGCATTCCCTATCAACCTATTGCATACACTTTCACGTTTCATCGTAGTTTCGATATTAAGGAGCATCCCTAGGGACTAGTATCGTTTCTCACAACCAAACCCTCTATTCGTTGTCGAGCTGGTTCCATTTTCAAATCACATTCCTTCAACCAAAACGTCTTTGCACACAAATAAAATCAAACCTTTGATCCAACGTCAAATGGTATTTTTAAACTTATAAGTCGAGTGTCTTTTGCTTTGCAGTCCACCTCTTTTCGCAACCAATCCAATTCTATCATTTTCAAACTATTTTCTTAACAAATAACGAAAGAAGAAGATTCTTGGAGTCTAGAATTCCTTGAATATTTGAATGAATGACTCTTAAGGCGCATGCTTTGGGTTGTCATTCATTCAACCTTTCCTATCAAAATACATAATCTTAATCTAGACATTTTCTTAATCAACTTGATGTAGGGCTTCACATGCACCAACAATGATCCTAAAACACTCCTAAAATGAGAGAAAAAAGGTTGAAGAAAATACCTAGTGGAGAGTGTCCATTGTACCTTGCTCTTGCTTCAACACCTTCTGCAAACTCCTCCTCCAAGCTTCAAGGACCTTCAGAGGTGATGATAAAGGCAAGAAAGGATGGAAAACTCAGAGGAAATGAGCAGCTCGATTTGAAAAAGTTGAGAGAGTGAGTGAGCTATTATGATTTGATTCTGAGGTGAAATGAGATTATCATCTATAAATTAGGGTTTGTACACTTATATAGGGTGGATTATGAGGTGTTAATGTGCCTAAAACACAAAAACAAGTTTGTTTGGGAATTTGGCCAAAACATGTAGTTGAGAGTGAGGTACGGGTTTTGGTATGGATGGGGTATTGATGTTGTGGTAGTGAGTGGAAATGAAAGGACAAAAATGTATGAGGCACATGGAGGTCAGAATTGTGGCAATTCTTTATTCTTTTCCAAGTTTTTCAAAAGTGTGCATGAGGTGCACATGGTGAATATGGCTCATGTTTGGTCATTTTTGGCAATGTGTGGAGTGGTATTTTGAAGTGGTTTAGGAAAGGAATTGAGGAGGCATGTTTATGATATCATGTGCTGCAAGAATCATTAAACAAAATGCTAGTAAAAAGCCTTGAAACCTCTTTGAACATCCCACTTTGCATGAGCATATCTTGATGAAAATGGCTCCATATGATGAAAGATTTGATACTAAAATGAAGTAAGGAGGATGGTGAGCAAGTTTGATGTTCAAGGTTCTTTGAGATGAG